AACTAAACGTAGTATATATATATATATATATATATGTGTGTGTGTGTGTGTGTATTCCAGTTCCAATCGACACCAAAAAAAACAACCGGAAACGAAGAAGAAGAAGAAGAAGAAGAAGAAGAAGAAGAAGAAGATGATGATGATGATGATGAAGAAGAGGGAAAAGATATGTGTAAATATCACCAGTTTCAACAAAGTCCTACCTACACACACGCCCCCTCAAAAATCAGCAATTAACATACACGTCATCACCCAAACCAGTCAAGAGTCAAGAGAAAAAAAAAAGTTCAATCCGTCTCTAACATGGTTATCTAGCTGATCCCATATGTTGCCAGCAAGAGAGAAGGAGAGAAGGAAAAAAAAGATCCCACAACCCTTTCCCCCCGACTACATATCTGCTTCCATCATACCGAGCCATGAAGGGATTTCCCCATTTCCCGTCTAGCCTCAAGGTATGAAGTTATGCCTTGGTAAATGATTACTCCTTTCCCTTTCTTTCGAACACTGTGATCTTGACTTGTTCGCGTACGTAGTTGCCGAAAGAAGTCTTTTCTTTTTCTTCTATGCCTCTTTCTCTCTACTCAGTTGACTGCTTGTTCATAAAGGTGTAAGCAGCAAAGGCAAGGACACCACCAAGGAGGATGACGGCGTAAAGACCGACACCAGTCGAGGCACCATCGGTGGGGGTAGCCGTGGATCCAGAGGGTGCGTAGCTCTTGGGCTTTGGGTCACCCGCCTGCATCGTGTTGTTAGTCAAGGCTACGTTTCATAGCGACTGTATCCGTGTCCCGGGGAGCCTCTTCGGGCACTATTCCGAGATAGTGTCTAGGACCCCCCTCGGAATGCCGGATGCCAGATCCCCGTCGCCTGCGACGAATCCGAGCGTTCGCAATGTAATTCTCGGAAGTGAACGGAGGATGCAGGACCGGGTGGGGAAGAGAGGTGTGCGGGATGGGGAATGGGAAAGCCGTACCTGGCGCTTCAGCTTACCAACGAGCAAGCCCTCGAGAATCTCGCGAGCCTCGTCTGAGTGGCCGACATCCTCGAATGCCTCGGTCGAATCTTGACCTCCAACATCGAGCAGAACCTCTTCACCACCTCTGCAGGTAAATGTTAGCGATTGTTGCAGATGCGGCGAGGATGAGGGCCATGGCCGAGGTTCAAGGTGGGGTCTGCGAGAACCACATGGAAGCCAAAAGACCACGGTGGCAGCCTCCGAGGACAACAACGTACGGGTGCTCGTCTACGAAGCTTGATGCATTGTAGACCTTGTCGTGCACAACAATGTACAGATCCTTCTTGGTGTTGTGTTCCGAAACATCGGAGTAGGTGAATTCCTTGTCAGCGGACATTGTGGACGAGGCTCGGAATGTGGGTGGTGTTTGGGAAACAGAAGCGGCGGGCGGGATTTACGTTGCTGATTCTATTGCGCAGCCGGGGCACGAGGAGTGGGCGAGGTGGGAGGAAGAGGGCAGAGGCCGTGGCGGGTGTTGGAGAAAAGATACGGTGGATTTGAAGTTGCGGCGGCGGACGAACGATGTTAGCTCGGCTTTGCGTGGGCAGTGGCAGGTTAGTTGAGGCAATCACAAACTCCGACGCGCCGATTGGCTGCGTCGAACCTCGCTCACCGACATCGCCCTGATAGGCTGGGCAGGTGGGCGGCCGGAATGGGTAAGAATACCCTATTGCCCTTGGCCTGTGGGGCTGCCACTGAGCACGGCGGGGCGGTTGATTCACTTTGAGTAGCCATATCCGCCCTGCCTTCTGGGTGCAGCAACAAGTAGGTGAGTCATGCTATGCTGTATCATTCATCTTTATCGTCACATCATGTGCTTCATCACGAGCCCAGCACCTTGACCCTCATCCATTCGCTCGTCCCAACACCAAGATTCAGCCCGTTCAACGCCCACCATCTCCTCACCGTCTCGCCCTTGTCCCCCTCGACTCCGTCCTCGAGCGCCTCCTCAATGTCACACGTCTTGTATTCCACCTTGAGGCCACTGCGCTTCCACCACTCGAGCACGTGGGCATGGCCCATTTTGGTCGGCCCAACGAGCACCTGGTTGTCGAAAAGCATCTTCTCGCCGCGGAGCTTGCGCCAGTAGTCTAGGATGTGAGTGTGGCCGTGTGTCGATGCAATCTTGGCAATGGTATCTTCGTGCGAGAAGGGGATGCCGGAATCGACCCAGAAAACAATGGCGGGCAGACAGCCAGACTGCGTTGCGTACGTGATGGACTTGCCCACCTTGAGAGGCAAGTCATCGCGATGCGTCTTGCTCGGGGCTTGCTCGTCAATTGGACTCGACGGAACCAGCGGGGCAGTCCGATGGCGGCTGTGCTCCTTCCACCATTTAAGCACATGGATATGCCCCTGTGAGCTTGCCTGCTCCAGCGCGGCTTCGGTGTATTTGAGGGCAAGACCCGAGTTGTACCACCAGTCGAGGGCCTGGATCGAATTCGTCCGGCTTGCGTCGTCGATAGCCTCGGCAGAGTACTCTTTGGTGAGGAAGGCCGGCGATGTTCTCCAGTACTCAAGAATGTCCGTCTTGCCAAACACCGAGGCCTTGTGCGGCAAGAAGGTGTGTCCAAAAGTGCCCCAAAACAGATCCTTGTGCGACTTTTCCAAATGGACCAGCACCGGCACCATGGCAAAGCGCATGATGAGCTCGATGCAAAGGCGTGAGATGCGCGTGGGCTTTTCGGCGTCGAAGATGTTTTTGATTTCGGGGTATGGATAGGTAAGTAGGGCCCATTCCAGTTTCTGCATTGGCGTCTTGGGGCCCTCGTCGCTCGCGGCTTGCCGCCATTCTTTCGGTATGGGCAGATTCGTGTGGACGTTGAGGGTGGTGGCCAGCTCCCAGTCCTTTGTGAACTCGAGGATGATGGACCAGAGCTCGGGGGGCAGACGAGGCCCTTTGCTCTTGGTACGAGTCAGTGTGGGCAGATGGGCAATGGGCAGGGCGACGGTGCGATCACCGACGGCCATGAGGTCAATCTGGGTTTGCATGGACTCGTTGAAGGCCTTGTGGCCTTCGACCCACGGCTGGCACTTGCGGCCGGAATGATCAAAGGACCACAGGAAGGGTGGAAGGACGCGGATCCAGTTCCATTTCCTCCGTATCTTGCTGATCTGCTTCCTCGACATGGGGTTCTCCCACATGAGCGTCGACATGGCAGGTATGAGCAGGATCTTCTTGGAGACATTCCAGCTGCGCAGCACTTGCAGGTGCAGGCTGGTTGTGAAGCCGTGCAGCATGCGCGCCAAGTTCTCAGCGTTGAGGGGCGCGAGGACCAGCAGGTCGGCCCATGCGCAGTACTCTGCAACGGTTGTGTCGAGGTAGTCGGCGTGTTGCCACTCGGGCAGGGCGTGGTCGTCGACATGGTATGTTTGCCATAGTGGCTCGAGTTGGGGGGGGATCGTCGTTTGCGTCGTTGTTGGGAATTCCTTGCAGGCTATGATCTTCAGCGACACATGATGGAGGCGATGCAGGCGGGCGACAATGGAGCAGCCAAAGCGGAAGGCCGAGGGGTCGGTCAGGGCGACGAGGACATTCAGGGTGCGCGCAGGGGCTGGCGATGACATTGAGGGTAGCGGAAGCGGTGCTGGAGCTTTGCGAGTCTGGAGGGAGTGCGGTGAGCAGCCAGCGTGCAATGTTGAAGCAATGCGTGTTGCGTGTGTTAGGCCGTCATTGGCCGTGGCCGTTGCCCCACAGCTCCCTCGTGGCTATCTTATCTAATGCAGGCTGGCTGTCAGGCCTGCTTGGCCTGTGTGCCAGGAACACACAGGGCTTGGGAGGGGACGAGGACACAGCAGCAGAACCGGGACGGATGGCAGGAGGAGCTTGGGGGGAGCATGCCATGCTCACGCTGGCAGCCAGGAGGGGAGGATGGGGAGGGGGGAGCGGGGAGGTGCTGGGGCAGCAGCTGAGGGGGTGATTACTGGGCGTCCGCTCCGTCTCACACGGGCTGGTTGCTTTTTTTGCTTAGGGCGTGCTCGCATCCGTTTCTTCTTGCTGTGGCTGGCTGGGTCACGTGCGGGGCAGCCGGCGGGTCACGTGGACAGCCTTGCGGCGGGGAGTGGCGGTGGCGGCGGCGGTGGCAGTGGCGGTGGCGGTGGCGGTGGCATCGGCGGAGACGGGGCTCGGGGCTCCGACGCGGTTGTGGGCGCAGGAATGCTCTGGGCCCTGAGAGGGGGGGCAGCCTCGGGGCACATGTGCCGCGGCGCAGCAAGGATATGGGGGTAGCGTTTTTCGCAGAGGCCTGGACGGCGGGCCCCCTGGCGGAGCAGCGTGGGCCGGGCTGCGTATACATACATGCATGCTTGCATGTACATGTACAGGTCGTCGGGCACCGGGCGGCGCATGTGTGGCGCGGGAGCTGGATGTGCATGTATGCGAGCAGTGAGCGCATGGCGGACGCAATGACGTCAGCGTCGTCCCCCGGGCGCGCCCACGACCACGACCACGACGGCGGTGGCAGCGCGGGCGGCTCTGGTGGGTCCACGACGCCATCATGCAATTGTCGCGAAAAAGCCATGCCTGCGCACCGCTTGGTCACGCCAGAGCTTTTCACGCCTCGCCCGTGTCGTGCATGCGCTATCCTCGTCTGGGCCCCCATCGTCGATCTCACAGATGCACCCGCTATGCCCAAACCCGCCCACGATCGACGTCGACACCCGCCATCAAGCCATTCAAGTCTTTGTCGTCGAGCCCGCCATGGCAAAGGCAAATGTCCTCGTCGTCCACTGCCTGCAGCCCCCCCGTCCGCCCACACCCACACCCACACCCACACCCACGCGCGCCCCCCCCCCCAAGTGCAAGCCTGCCCAAACCTCGCCCGCGACCCTCTCTGCTCTGTTTCTGCTCCCTTCCATCGCCCGTGTTGGCGCACTTGCACCTGCTCTCCAAAGGCCCAGATTGCCTCCCCCCCCAACCCCCGCATGCCCTGTCCTCGCCCGCAACACAGCCAACCTTGATGCGGCTGCTAGCCCAAACCACCCCCGACCACGACGACGTCAAATCCCCAAAAGGGGCCTCCTCTGGACCTCTCTCCGCGCCCTCGTCATCGCCCTTGCCACCTGTTCACCGGTCCCTGCATAACGCCAAGTTGCCTCGCGAACCTAGGCCTGCTCTCCCAATTGCTCACCACCTAGCCCATCCGCACCCCCCATGGCCGCCTGAAGCGCCCACAGCAGTCCGAGTGCGGGTGTCTCTGCTCCTACCAGTCTGCCCACGCCCTGGAATCCACTTGAGCCCTCGCAGCCTGGCGTCGACGTTTCATCGACGGCAGACGGCCCACGCCAGCTGTTAGCGCCTCCATGTCTCAACCATCCGACCAGCCCAGTCAAGATGGAGCCACTGTCCAGCAAAGCGACCACCACACCTTCTCTACCATGTCGCCCGTAGAGGAGGAGCCCGCGTCGCCAGCGGCCGCCACCAGCGTCACCGACTTCGCCGCCCCAGAGCCCAGGCAAAGGTCGCGCGCCTCTACTACCGAAGTAGCAGGTCCCATGAGCCCGTCGGCTACCGACCGTGTCTTCCCCATCCGCAGCGCCATTAGCGTTGAGCCCACCCCCACTCCAAAGGGCCAGCAGACACAGGGCGACTATTTCCACCCCTACTCGCGAGCCAACGACGCACGCCTTGCCTCCGATACCCGTCGAGCCTCGCAGGGCTCTGCCACTTCGCACTCCTCACATGCCTCGCAACGCGCGTGGACTATGCGCCACCAAGCAACCACGGCCTTCTCAAGAGGTGGCCAACCGTTGCCCTCACAGCTCTTCAACGACATGTCGTCCAACAAATCCACTGGAAGCGTTCAGGACGAGAGTCGGTCGCCATCGAATATACCCGAACACTCGGGTTCAATAAAAAGCGGCATCAGCAGCATGGACATGGGTGGCTTGGTGACACACCGGTTCAAGCACGTTACAACGGAAGGAGGCCATATGATCATCACCGGGCGCGAGGGCGACACCCTGCAGCGTTGCGAAGACGAGCCCATCCACCTACCCGGCGCGGTGCAGGGCTTTGGTCTGCTGGTGGCGCTGCAAGATGATCCCGAGGGAAGTCTGCTGGTGCGTGTTGTGAGTGAAAACTCTCAAAGGATAATAGGCCGCACGCCCAAAGAGCTCTTTGCCCTGGAAAGCTTTACAGACATTCTTTCCGAAGAGCAGGCCGACAACTTACTGGATCACATTGACTTTATCAAAGACGAGGAATCCAATGTCACGTCCAATGGGCCCGAGGTCTTTACCATGTCCATCAAGGTGGCAGGCCACGCTCGGACACGCAAGCTGTGGTGTGCAATACACATAAACGAGAGCAACCCTGGCCTAGTCATCTGCGAGTTTGAGCTCGAGGAAGACCCACTTTACCCGCTCGTGCCCGCCAATGAGCACACGCCTGAGCTCCCCGAAGATACCCTGTCTAGCCAACCCACGGCTGAGGAGTTGCTGGAAAGCACCGAAATCAAGAGCAAGCCCTTGCGAATTCTGCGCAGTGCTCGGAAGCGGAAAGGCGAGGCTGCTGCCATGGAGGTTTTCAACATCATGTCGCAGGTGCAGGAACAACTAGCTGCTGCGCCCTCGTTGGAAAAGTTCCTCAAGGTGCTGGTTGGCGTTGTCAAGGAACTGACGGGCTTTCATCGTGTCATGATATATCAATTCGACCAAACCTTCAATGGCCGCGTTGTCACCGAACTCGTGGATCCTCGAGCAACAAAAGATCTGTACAAAGGCTTAAATTTCCCTGCCTCGGATATTCCCCAGCAGGCTCGAGAGCTGTACAAGATCAACAAGGTCCGTATGCTTTACGATCGCGATCTGCAAACTGCGCGACTCGTGTGCCGTACTACTGAAGATCTGGAGACCCCACTGGATCTCACGCACTCGTATCTCCGCGCCATGTCTCCGATTCACCTCAAGTACCTCGCAAACATGGCAGTCCGGTCGTCAATGTCAATTTCCATCAATGCTTTTGGCGAGTTGTGGGGTCTCATCGCATGCCATACCTACGGGCCTCGTGGAATGCGAGTCTCGTTTCCTATCCGCAAGATGTGTCGCATGATTGGTGACGCTGCGTCGAGAAACATTGAAAGGCTATCATACGCATCAAGGTTGCAGGCGCGCAAGCTGATCAACACAGTGCCTACACAGCACAACCCCTCTGGGTACATTATTGCATCCTCTGACGACCTCCTCAAACTTTTTGACGCAGACTTTGGTCTGCTATCAATTCGCGATGAGACCAAAATTTTGGGCACCTTGGAAAACTCGCAGGAATCACTGGCCATGTTGGAGTACTTGAGAATGAGAAGGATCCAGGCCGTCATGACTTCTGTCGACATTTCTACCGACTTTCCGGATTTGCGATACCCGCCAGGGTTCCATGTCATAGCTGGAATGCTCATAGTGCCCTTGTCTGTGGACGGCGAAGACTTCATCGTCTTCTTCCGCAAGGGACAGCTGAAGGAAGTCAAATGGGCCGGTAATCCATACGAGAAATTTATCAAGGAAGGTACAGAAGGCTACTTGGAGCCACGCAAGAGTTTCAAGACGTGGTCCGAGACAGTCGTTGGCAGGTGTCGGGAGTGGACAGAGGAAGAGATAGAAACTGCTTCTGTGCTTTGTTTGGTCTATGGAAAATTTATCGAGGTCTGGCGGCAAAAAGAGGCTGCGCTTCAAAGTAGCCAGTTGACCCGACTGCTGCTTGCAAACTCGGCACACGAAGTTCGCACACCACTAAACGCCATCATTAACTACCTTGAAATTGCACTAGAAGGCGTTCTGGACCAAGAAACCCGCGAGAATCTATCGCGATCTCATTCGGCATCGAAATCGTTAATTTACGTAATCAACGACCTTCTCGACCTGACAAAGACCGAGGAGGGTGGACCACTCATCAAAGGCGAATCGTTCGATCTCAAGGACACGATCAAGGAGGCCACAGACATGTTTCGGAACGACGCCAAACGGAAGAACATTGACTATCAAGTCATTGAGCATCCGGGCCTGCCCAATCATTGTATCGGAGATCAACGCCGAGTGCGGCAGGCCATCTCTAACATCACTGCTAATGCGATTCAACACACCACCGCGGGAAGTGTCAAGGTCGAGGTATACGTTGCAGCCAGGACGGGGCGAGATCATGTCGATATTGAAGTGGCAGTGTCCGACACGGGTATTGGCATGAGTCAAAAGAAGCTCGACCAGCTTTTCAATGACCTGGAACAAGTGCAATCCGAGCCTGCCTCGATGCTAGAGGATGCTCTGATACCAGACCAGAAACCGATTTCCGAGCAAGGCAACAAATCCACGCTGGGGCTTGGGCTAGCCATTGTAGGGCGCATCATCAGGAACATGAACGGGCAATTACGGTTACGCTCAGAGGAAAGCAAAGGCACAAGGTTCATTATACAGTTGCCATTCAATCTCCCAGACTCGGAAATAGATACGACTTCCACTGGTGCGGGCTCTCCTGGAAGCATCACGCCTCAGGCTGAGCAGCCTCTACCCGACATTTCCAGCCCTGCTGCTGGCGAGCGGACTTTGATAGCACCTAGCCTATCTCGCCATGGTTCTGCTGGCGAAAACGAGCACACCCCAGGCCATGTTGTGGTGCGGAAGCACAGCGCCGGGAGCCTCACAAGCAAGAATAGCCTGCGAAGTTTCAAGAGTGGCTCAAGCCAAAAAAGTGACGTGGACAGGCTGATCGACGCGATACAGGAGCCGCATCTGGTGGGAAGAGGCGACGCGAGCCCAAGCACGCGATCCCTAAGACCAACTCTGACAAAGCGCGGCAGTCTAGATTCCCAGGCATCAGCTGCTGCTGCTGCGCGCACGAGATCTAAGAGCCTTGAAGATTTCAGCAGCCAGACCGTTGTTCCACCCCATCAAAGAAGCATGCAATCGGAGGGACCGGGTCAAGAGAATGTTCCTGGCTCAGATACTCCTATCACGGCCCTCAAGGTCCCTGATGCAGGGGGTGGCTCACCAATTGGCGTCCGTCAGCCTGGAAGTATACTCGGTGAGGAGCATGAGGAGCCTCCACAGCCGACTGCGGAGCCCGAGAAGTTGTCATCCGACAACATGCGTGTCCTTGTTGCTGAAGACGACCCGGTGAACAGCAGAATTGTCAAAAAGCGGTTAGAAAAGCTCGGACACAAGGTACACCTCACAGTGAATGGCGAGGAATGCGCATCTGCCTTTTGCGATAACTCCAAAGACATTGATGTTGTCTTGATGGATATGCAGGTACGTAGTCCAATTTTTACTCTATTTCTTCTAAACTAACAGCCATCTAGATGCCAATTGTAGATGGACTTACCTCGACGAAGGTGATACGGTCATTTGAAAAGTCGCATAGTAACATTTACTCTCCACGCGCAGCCCTCTGTGGACGCGTTCCCATCATTGCCGTGTCAGCGTCATTAGTTGAGCGCGATCGCCAGCAGTACATTGATGCGGGGTTTGATGCCTGGATTCTCAAGCCCATCTCGTTTGCCCGGCTGAACCAGCTCATGAGCGCCATTGTTGACACGGACGTCCGAAACGATTGCTTGTATCAACCCGGCTCGTGGGAAAAAGGCGGCTGGTTCCAACGTGGAATGCACAGTGCCGACGAGGCCGTCACCAAGCCATCTGGTGAAGCGCCTGTCTCCAACCCGTCAGAAGAGCTAGAGGAAGCCGCAGCCGCCGCCGGTTCAGAAGAGCCAATAGCCGGCGAGGAAGATGAAAAGGGCGACATACCCGACGAGCAAGCACGGCTCCTGCAAAATCAGGAGGAAGGGAAGATTGAGCCCCCGCAAGACAGCGCCGAGCAACCTCCCGCTTGAAAGATATACAAGGCCTATAACACATGATCCTGTTCCCCCCCTCGGTGCCTTATCGCTTCAGCCTCATTGCTCTGCACAGGCAAAGACCAAACAAAAAGCATTGCTCTCTTGAACCAAAGCAGATGGCTTTTCACCACCTCTAGCTGTTAATCGTTCGTGACGGAACGTTTGCTATATTATTCCTTGTTCCTCTTTCTTCTCCTTCCTCTTTTTCTTCTTCTTCCTCCTCCTCTTCTTCTTCCTGTCCCCTTTTTTTTTCTCTTTTTTTTCCTTTTCTGTTGCAGTGAAGGCACATGAGAGACTTTATGAACGCTTCTTGCCGCTTTCAAGACGTGATGGATGTGGTGTGTTTGTCTGTGTGTGTGTGTGTCTGTGTGTGTCTATGTATGATGAATGGTTTGCCTATCGAGAAAAAAAATGGGGCGCTTATCCTGGCTTAATTCTTATTCTTTTTCTCCTTCTTCTTCTTCTTCTTCTTCTTCTTGATCCATGTCTTATACATGTCTTCCGTTTTTGTTTTTATGTCTCCTTTCTTGTTTTCTTGGGGGACTTTTGGTGGGCGCATCATGCGGATTCTGCTTTAGATTGATGATGATTGTGCCAGTGCTGTTTGTACATACAGTATGAAGGAGCTAGCTAGCTGCATGTCTAGGAAGGGGAGAAGGGGGAGTGAGGAGAGAGAAGTCCTTTTTTTGTTTTTGATTTTTCTTTATTCTCCGCTCATCATCATCATCATCATCATCATCATCTCTTTTTCCTCTTCTTCTTCTTCTTCTTTTGGCGGGCTTAACTGATTTCCCACCACCACCACCGATCGAATGGCTGTCCTGGGGTCGTAACAAGCTCGTTGTAACTACATAGCTGATTGACTTGGCTGGCTTGGTTACAAGGACATTCTTCTCTCTCTCCCACTTTATCAGCAAGCAGAGAACAAGGCTGCGCAGCGCTTAGAAAAGGACATGTTAGGTTAAGATATGCTAGATTCTGCTCAGTCACATCAGCGTTCTAGCATAGCACCATGGGCATATTGGACCGACTTTGAATTTAAAAATGGAATGGCGGAAATGCATATACATGTATGTACGAGTGTGACATGGATATATGGGCGTATGTATGGTTGTATAGGTGTAGGCGGAGTTGATATATACATAGCATATTGAGCATCAAGAGGAATATCATTATTATTATTATTATTATCATTATCATTACTACGATCCCTGCATTTGGAGTCGTGTGTGCTGTGCAGAATACAATTGGGTAAAGGTGATGAAAGTCCCGCTAGCGCAGCGTTTATAAGTAATGCTTGATTCTCTTTATTTTTCTGGAGTTTGGGTTGAGGGGGCGAAGAGAGAGAGATGTAAGGGAAAGGATATTTGGTGTAAGTATACATATGTAGTTTCACAGTACATACATGTATGGTAGAAACGCAAGCTACATAGGTGTATTAAAGAATCCATCACACAGCACAGAGAGGGAGGGGACTAGGTACGTAGAAACCAAACCGAACAAAAAAAATCTGATATGGAAAACGCGAGAGATATTAATGGTAAATATGTACTTATATACATAGTTTTCCTCTCTCTCTCTTTCTCTCTCTCTCTCTTTCTCTCTCTCTCTCTCTTTCTCTCTCTCTCTCTGCCCTAAATACTCCCATCGAACTCTACTCCCTTCCTTCCTTCCTCCCCCCAACACACACACACACATACACACATGCACTCTGAAACCCGCTAGTTGACAAAAGTATACATGTATGTATGTATGTATGTATGTATGTGTGTATATACTTGTCGAGCCGCCTGCCACCCTACATACCTTGCTTACTGCGTTAGTCTTGCTTTATCTACGCAACAAGGCACCACCTCTGATCCTGCTCTGTTCAACGGAGACAAAAGTAATGGGCTTGCATGAATATCATCACCTACATATCCCGGTATCGGTAACTTCATAGTACGATCGACATAGTGGTGTGGCTGTGAGTAGTACTAGTGATGATAATGGTGGTATTTGTATTTGTACTTGAACCTTTACCGCCTTTCTGCCTTTCCGCCTTTTCACTTTTGTATTCGTCCTCATCTTCGCTATCCTCCTACTACTACATCATGTACATAATCTCGCACTACCGTTTTTTACTCTGTTACTTTGCCAATCTCCTTGCCTGTTTTTTTTTTTAAAAAAAAAAGAAAGATATTCTTGGTTCTTGCACTTGACGAATGATAGAAAGAAAGAAAGAAAGAAAGAAAGAAAAAGAAAAACACGTTGGAATATATGTAGCTATAGACACAATAACTATCAACACAGCTACGTCAAAACTCACCTTTCTTCTTTTCCCTGCAACACACAATATATCATGACCAAGTCTCTTCAAACAAGACAATTTTTAAAAAAGAGAATTAACTTGTTATTCTTTTTACAAGCTACATAGCAAAGAAAAACCCATCATGAAAAACCGCTATATATCCCCCGCTTTTAGTAGGGTTGGAAGAAAACCCCACCCCCATAGAGAGAAAGAGAGACAGAGACATGAGAGGAAATTTCTGTTCTTTTTTCATCAATCAAGGTCATGATCCCTCCTCATCTCCTCCCTTCAACCTTCGTAGCATGATCCAGTATCATTAGAGATGAACAGTGTCTCTGTCCTCTCTGGATCATGGCTGATAATCGGTTATACATGTCGCTTTCGTTTCACATACACATGATTCAAGAGCGGTCCTTGCGGCCGCCGTTGCCGCCCCTGGAAACAATGTCAAGAATCATCTGGCGAGCCTCTTCGCATCCTTCCCTAGTACCGACAATCTCAATGGCCTCATCCTTGGCCTGGTCGCGGGGGACCTGGATCTTGGTACCGGTCTTCTTGCGGAGGTCGTTGATGGTGGAACCACCAGGTCCGACGACAAGCCTATGGGGCGTTAGCGACAACTATATTACAGATGCGGAATGACAAAACTGACCTGTAGCTTCGTGGGTCTGGTAGGATGAGGTAACCAGTGGAAGATGGCTTGGAAGCAGCCTCAATGGCCTGCTCAAGCTTTTGGCGGGCCTTGGGAAGGTTCTCAGCAGGACCACGCAGGATCCAAGGAATCGTGGCAGAGGTGTCAGCACCCTCTTCGGCAACATTGTGATCGACAATCTCCCAAGAGTGCTCGTTGGAACCATTGGTTGCATCATCAGTAATCAAAGGCAGAGCGCCGTTTGCGCCCTTCCTGGCCTTTCCACCCTCAGCTTGAGCAGGCTTGGGAGGAATCTGCTCGCCACCGTGGTCAACGGTGACCTTGTGCTGGTTGCGGAGTTGACGGAAGAACTGGCCGTTGTCTGAGATTGCGTGGTGGAGATAACGAGGGACCTGGATCGTCTCGCCCTCTTGGCCCTTGACAAGCTCAAGAATGTGCTCCTTGGCCTTCTCGACAGCAGCAAGCTCACCAGTAATCTTTACCTGGCTGCGGGCAGTACCAGTGGTAGTCTGCTTGGGAATGTCCAGCTGGATCTTGAGCTGAGATTCGAGAGAGCGACGAGTCTCACCACCGCGACCAATGAGCAGACGGTGCTTGTCAGGAGAAATCTCAAGTGTCTCGGTTGTCTGGTTCTCCAGCGAGGCCACCTGTGCCTTCAAAGCGGCAATAATCTTCTCAACCACACTCTTGGGGCCTTCTACGCGAATAGTAGACTCATCAGACTCGGCGCGAGGGAATCGCACCATGCGTGCCAAATCGCGAGAGTTGTCAGGGCCGCCAGCTGACGTGACGATGGAACGGATGTTGGCACCACTGCCGCCAATGAGGTTCCTGTGGTGTTTCCTGTCAACTTCAAGGGTCTCAACGACGGTGTCATCAAACTCCCGGGCACGTTGTTGCAGAATCTTCTTTGCCTCCTCGACCTGCTTCTTGGTTCCCTTGAGCTTGATCTCGGCACGGCCAGAAGGATCAGCACCTTCACGAGCACCCGGAACGTCAATCTGGCATCCAGTCTCGAGACGGAGGTTCTCCATCTCGCGACCGCCAGATCCGATCAGCCGCGGGATGTTGCTTTGTGCGACCGAGACAGTGTCGCTGTAAGAGTTGTCCATGATGTACTGGAGCAGGCTCAGAACTTCGTCACGGGCCTCGTCGGCGCCCTTTCTGGGACCTCGGACAATGACCTCGTCCTGGTTTTGGCTAGGACGGGTGTTCTTTTGTGACGATGCGTCTCCGTCCTCGTCGTTCTGTGCTCGCCTGGGGAAGTTGATGCGCACGCCGTAACGGTCTTGCAGACGCTCAACTTGCTTGCCGCCAGCGCCGATCAAGTCACGGTGGTACTGTGGCTTGACCTTGAGGATGTGGGTAGCTTCGTCTTCGAGCTTCTTGGCCATGTCCAGGATGTCCTTCTTGCATTGCAGGGCCTTGGCCGAAGGTCCCTTCAGCTCAACCTTGCCATCGTTGATCTGGACATCGACATCGTACTTTTGACGCAGACGCTGGATGTTCTCTCCACCCTTGCCAACAAGGTGGCTGGCGTACTTTTGGGGGTAGTCAAAGGTTGTGATGTGGTTGCGTTCGAGTTCGTCCTTTTCAGCCTGTTCGATAAAAGCAAGGATCTTGGCATTAAGCTCATCAACAGCATTTGTGGGTCCACGAATGGCAAAGCTGTTGTTTGAGCGGCTGTAGGGCTCAGGTCGTCGGTGACCGAACAGAGCCTGAACAGGGACCTGGTCCGCTCCGAGGCCACGCTGCTCGTCATTGACAAACTGCTCAATCTTGCGGTGGAACTTGGGGTTAGACTCGAGACCGCGAGACTCAATCTGGGGCTGGTCCTTAGTCAGACCCAGGATGAATCGCTGTGCGTCCTGGAGGCCCTTTTGGTATGCCTTGATCTCAGCTTGAGAGGGCGCGCCTCGTGGGAGGCTGTACTCATCATATGGCGTGTTGCCCTCATAGACAAGGATCAGCTCCGGCGACTGCTCCGACTCGTCGGGGAAAACAATGTGCACGCCGTGGTCCTGTCTGACCTGGGGCGCGTTACGCTGTTGCAAGAACTGGTGGTAGAAGGGGTCGACATTCAGGGTAGAGAACCTGCTTGGAGGATGCGATTGGAAAAGGCCCATGATATCAGTGCGAGCCTTCATGCTGTTCTTGCCGTCCTTGGCGTAAATCTCCCATCCAGTTGGAGCGTCACGGTCGGTAGGAGCAACGATGCTAGCTTCGTGCTTGCGCTCGAGTTCCTCAAGAGCCTTTCGGTGACGCAGGTAACGGGTCAGGTTGTGGGCGTGTGCTTGGGCGTTGGGGCCCTTGTGCTCACGGGCAGCGTCTGCGGTCGCCATGGTCATGCTAGCAGCGAGATCCTCGAGCTTGTTGATACCCTGCTCGATTTTGTTGGGTGGGCCAACAATGTACACCGTCTCGCTGTCGTCCGAGCTAGGAGGCAGAACGATGCTGCAGCCAGTCTCCTCCAAGAAGTCGTGCAGAGAGTGGCCGCGGTCACCGACAATGAATTGATGCCTACCACGCTCAATCGACCGCTGTTCGGTAGCCAGCTGCTGGCGGAGCTGCTGGACACGGCGCTCGAGCTCAGCCTGGACCTGCTGGGCAGCTACGCGGTCACCAGAAAGCTGGATGGGGAAGTTGGCCTGGGGGACGAACTGAGCAGGCTGGCCGCGGCCGACCACAGGAGGAGCCTGCGACTGCCACGTGTGGTACTGAGGAATCTGGATGTTGACATCGCGGCCCTCGACAAGCCTGTCAGCGTGGACGTTGTTGGGACCAGCGAGGAAAGGATAGAACTCGGCAGGGATGTCTTTCAGGCGCAGGTTGACCGTCGAGGTGCGTTCATTGACAATGGCGTCGATTTCGCGACGAGCCATCTCAGCGGTCAAGGCGTTGCCCTCAATGTGGACATTCACAACCGTGTCTTCATCCTCGCCCGGCTCGGCCTTGGGAACCTGAATGCGGGCACCGGTGCGCTTGCTGATTTCCTGGATCTTGGAGCCTTGACGGCCGATGATGTGGGCGCGGACGGAGGCGGGGACGGGGACATCGACGGATTGCTGCAGATTGTGAGTTTTTTTTTCTGTAGAGATGGAGCGTTTTGTGTGAGGTGGTCACTTACCTTGGAGCCGACCTCGTTGGCAACCTCCTTGAGCGCCTGCCTGACCGCCTCAACAGAGCCAGTCGCCTCGAAGATGAGAGCACCGGGCGCCTGCTTGTACTCGAGCTTGGCCTTGGAGCGCCTGTTGATGTCGCGGACAATCTCGTTGATGGGCTTCTTCAGCTCTCCACGGGGGGCGACCTGGTGGGAGGCGAGAGAGATGCGCTCAGTGTGCTTGCCGGGGATGCTCATAGACGGGAGGGCGGGGCCACGGCCGGCGGGGGCAGCGGAAGAGCCGTCGTGGGCGTGGGCACTGCCATTGACTCCGTTGGAGGTGACCGAGGCGGGCTTCTTGCCCCAGGTGGGCGCGACCGAGGCCTGGGCACGGGGCTTGACAGGACCAAGAGCCGGGAAGGCCTCCTCGGACGACGTGTTCAGAGCGGGCTTCTTCGAGGGAGCGGCGTCGTCGGCGGCCCTTTGCTTGCCTGCGGCCTTGTCGCTGAGGGGCGCAGAGCCATGGGCGGGCGACGTGGTCGAGGGGGGCGGATGGGCGACATCGTCCTCGTCGACGACATCTTCGACGGTGACGTGGTGGTCGGCGTGCTCCTGCATGAGCTTCTGCGCCGGGGTCAGGCCCTCGGGGGCAGAGCTAGCGACTGCTTCGGAAGCCATTGTTAAGTGTGTAGACCGTTTCGAGGTGACCAGAGGGTATTCGCGGGGACGGTGGGTGGTGGCGGTCAACAGCGTGCAGCCAGCTTGACGGATGGATGGGGTTGGCCGTGCTGTGGGGAGGGCGAGGATGGGGTGGAGGAGAGGGAGGGATGGAGGGAGGGAGAGAGGACACGGAGATGGATAGGCTACCAATGGGGATTTTAGTGCGTTGGCTGTGCGTACCAGCAAATGCAATGGGCTGCTGTCACTTGGGGAAGTCAGCCAGGGAATGCGTCTACTCGGGCGCAGGGTCTCTCGGTAATTCAGCCAAGCGTCGAGGTTGCTTAGCAGGCGCTTCTTAGCGTGCCTCTGCAGCGCGGGCACGGCGGGGTCAATTGGAATATATGCGCGAGATGCCCCGTGGCTCTATGCGCCCGTGGCCTTGGATGAGGCCGTCGATTCGAGGCGGTGCGGGCAACCAGAGCGATTCTTCAAGTCGTCCAGAATGTCCTCGAACTTACTCGGCCCCTGCTTCCCGACCCCCCACCATTTCCCAATCCGGCTAGCCCATGCGCCAGTCCGCTGCCGCTAGCCTCCACACGCTCGCTACCACCACCCGACGTCTCTCGCCACAACACCACGCCGCAATCACCGACTGGCTATTGCAAACACAGACACGCTCAAGCCGACTCGCCGCACCATGTACCGCGAATTGTGAGAGTTACCGCAGACGACCGACCGCATCCAACAGCAACATGTGAATCTCCAATGTCCGCTACCACACATCCATGCGCGTATCCGTGGCGCTGGACTGCATGAAAGGCTGTACACAGCAAAAACAAGAACAGTATCAGCAACAACAGCAAATCAACAACACGCATCACTCCCTATCCCCCCTCATCTGCCTCGACTCCCAGATCGCCCTCGCCCACGCGCCCTTGACCACCACATCCTTATAACTGCCTCCGAGAAACCACTTGCCATCCTCATACTCACAGTACACCTTGGGCATGCCGCCGCCCTTGTTCTGCGTCACCATAGCCATGAACTTGTCTTTGCACTGCTGGGTGCCGAGCGGAAACCCGTATTTGATTGGCGTGTGCCCGCCCACTTCGGCGTCGATCCACACTTTGAAGATCCACAGGATGGGCCGGTTGTCCCATGCATTCAGCAGGTACGTGTATACGAGCGGCGAGTCGGTGCTGATGGTTGTGGGTGTGTGCCGCTCGCAGTACAGGTTTAGCGCGTTTTCCCACTCGCTCACGGTGGGGTGATGGTATTTGTTGGCCGGGCAGGCATTTGGGTTTCCGCGGGCGAGGAGCGTGATGTTGGAGAGCTCAGGGAGAGCCTGCATAGGTGAGGCTAGTGTGGAGATTGCCCAGATGAGGAGTATCGGTATCAGTATGCACATGCTTGGTTTTCTCCGCTTGTCTGCGCTTCGCGTGTCCGTGACAACGGCTGTGGGGATTTTTTTCGTTATGCAATCCCATGCCTTGTTGATTATATATCGCATTCGCACTTTTTTCTTCATCGTGAACACTTGGCTTTCGACAAAGATAAAAGCCCAAAGCCACAGCAACACAAAGAAATCCGGCAATATACGTCCGTATGACTACAAAGAACCTTGATCAGCTGCCCCAGCTGGTCGTCCGTACAGGGCTGAAACCGCCAGTCCATGGACATGTCGAGTATGTATGCTACTCTATCTTCGAGCAACAATCGTCATAAAACACAACCTGACTCTTCTAGCCTCCCCAAGCTGCTCAAAAAAAAGACCTTTCAATACAACCAAGCCATAGTATGCACAATCGAAGCCACTCTTTCCCACTCTCCACCCCCCATTCTTCAACCGCCCTCCCCCTCCTCCGGCGGCACCACAAACCCATCATCCGCTCTCTTCCTCGTCTCCGCCCAAACCGCCATGCCCCTAACCGACCCCTCAAACACATTTCTCCGCCCCCCTACAACCAGTTTGCCTGCACTCCCCGCCGTACACCACCCCCCATCCCCAATACCTCCACTTCCATCAGCCGTATCTACAAAGCCGCCAAACCACTCATAACACGTCCCCCTCTCCACCAGCATATTCCCCCTACCCTGAAACACATGCCGCTCCCACGCCAACGACAGGATCCAGCGGATGGGATATCCACGGGCGTCAGTAAGGATATACGTGAATGTCACTGGTTCGTTTGGTGCGAGCCATCGGTTCGGCGTAAAGTGCTTGTCGCAGTAAGTGGAGAGTGCGGCGTGGAACTGCGCGAGCGTAGGCAAGTGTGTGTGTGGGCATTTTGGGGCGAGGCTGAGTTTGTTTTTGCGGGGGAGGAGGGGTGGTGGTGGTGGTAGTGGTAGTGAAGAAGGAGAAGGGGGCGAGAGCAGTACGACTGTAGTACTGGTGCTAGTGGTGTTACTCAATCCCATCACAGCCGTTGCTACAGCGAGCAAAATCCCAAAATACAATACTCTCCACATCATCTCTTGAAAAGAAAAGAAAAAGAAAAATCTCATATATCAACCCATTGTTCATGCGGAGACAGAAGCGTATTCAAATAAACTCCCCTATACCCTATACCTACATGCCATGACCTCCCAAAAAAAAGTCCAGCGAGCAAGAAAAAAAAACAACCACCTTTCCTTGTCACACGGTTTTATCTCTTCACACGAGTACTAAACACCTAGCTTCGAATACGTATTCAAAGCCTTCCCGCACATCAGTTCCTCAATACACTCCTCAATACACTCCTCAATACACTCCTCAATACACTCCTCAATAAGCTCTCCAACAACTCCACAAAAAAAACAATCTCATCACCCTTCTCTCTCAGTCGTACGGAAAAAGGAAAAACAGAGCTTGTACCAAAAGAGGATTAGTAGCGGTACAGTATAGTATAGTATAGTATAGTATAGTATAGTATAGTACAGTAGCGTGATTTGCTGCGAATAAACAGGAAGTATCAGAGAACAAGAACAAGAACAAGAACAAGAAAGAAAGGGGATAAAGATTACTTTCTTTCTTTCTTTCTTTCTTTCCTTCTTTCTTTCTTCATCATGCTCCGAAACAAAACCAAAAAATAGTATACAACAACAACAACAACGACAAAGACGTGAAAGAGAAAAAAGAAAAACAGGCTAAGTAGTAAGAAAAGTTCACGCTAAGTAATTGTGGCAGTAGCATGCTGAATGGTAGATTTGACACACACACACAAAAAAAGGAAAACAATGCACAATAAAACAAGGCTCACTCATCGACCCAATTCAGTTTTATTATTAATGTTGAATTCGCTTTATTATCTGATTAGGAATAATACATTTGTACGTGTGAGTGGGTATGAGAGTGTGTGTGTGAGTGGGTATGAGAGTGGGTGTGTGTGGATTTACAAACAAAAGGCGCCTTTTCGCTACATAGATCAATGGTATCTTCTCATTCTGAGTCCTAGTTGCCCAAATCACGCGCCTACTGCGATGCTTTTACAAGTACATGATTTCTCCTCTCCTTGCTTTTTGCTTTTGCTTCCCACGCCCGTTCTAGCGGTAAAATCCAGAAGCGTCGTCGCCTCCGACAGGTGGCGCACTCGGGGCTTGCGCTCCCGGCCGGTATGGCAGATATGTTTGGGGTGCGGGACTAGTAGTGGTTCCGGGTGGCGCCGGGGGTGCATATCCGGGTTGTGAAGGTGGGTACCCATATCCTTGTTGAGGTGGCTGCTGTGCATGTGGCTCCGACGGGGGCTGTTGGTCATGTGGCGGTCCCTGTGGGGGTGGCGACGACATTTGCTCGTACGGATTCTGCTGGCCTGCTGGCGGCCCTTGAGGAGCACCTTGTGGAGGATAACCATTTCCTTGCTGTGCAGGCGGATAATCATAACCTTGAGGAGCTGAAGGACCTCCCTGTGGCTGACCAGGTTGACTGGGGGCGTGGAAGGAGTGTCGGTTGTCGACAGGTGAATCATAATGTGCCGTCGCCAACTCTTGTGGTCCATGGCTTTGCGGTCGCCCCCCAACTGGAACCCTGTTTGGAGGCAATGAATAAGGGTCAGAAGGCGGACCCGGTTTTGGGGTCTGTTGCGTCCGTTGTTCCCCAGGGGGGACCATGAAGAAGGCAGGGCTTCCAACTGTGGGCGGTGCTTGGGAAGGAGGTCCATGCTGTGCGGGAGGTGCCCCGCCATAGTTAAAACGGCCAGGGTCCTGGTGCGGTGAGGATACTGGTGGGTAGCCTGAATAGTTGGAGGGGGGCGGGGCGTTGTAGCCGCCATATGCAGGACGACCGCCGTACGCAGCTTGCTGGGGTTGCGACATGGATGCCTCGAGCATGGCCTCGTAGTCTCGGCGAGCCTTGATGAACTTTTCGTTCAGCTGTGTAAAGTCATCTGGTACGGTTAGTCTCCGATGCGGCCGTGGATTTCTATGAACATACCTTTCTTCTGAGAGTACTTGCCAATGAGCTCGATCAGCTTTGGCCTGATAGCCAAAGTCGAGTGATAGAGCTCTGTAATCTCCTCGTTATCCCGCGCGTCACCGCCGCCCGGTTGCGAACTAGTGCTCAGCAGAGCAAGCAGCTTCTCGACGTTCCTGATCTGCGCAAACACCTCCGCTTCGTTTTGTGCCTCACGCTCAAGCTCCTCGCGCGTCGGGTCCTGCAGCTTCTCCACGTAGTTGAGCGGAAAGATACCCGTCTGTCCACGAAGCGAGCCCTTCCACCAGTCCTTGTACACTGATTCGAGCACCGCTATGATATCGCCCTTGCGGAACTGCAGCTCACCAGGCTCAGAAGGCTGGAAATCGAAAAGCGCGCGCACTCGTGAGACGGTTGCGGCGGTTGTACCGGAGGGCACGGATTGTGCGGGTTGTTCTGATTGAGTGCCAGAGGCAGATGCACCTTGCTGAGGGGCGTTGGAGTTGGCGGCCGTCGGTGCTGCGCCCTTGGACTCTCGTATGGACATGGCCAGCGCCATCTGCAGTTCTTCCTCCTCCTTCTGGCGCTCGGCCTCGGAGATCTGCGTCTTCTGTGGCTTCGAGGGCGCGCGGAGATTGGGGTCTGTTCTTTTGTCAGCGCCATATCGTGTGGCAGTTGCGCAACGAGCATACTCTGTGACTTTAGCCGCATATAAGCATTCGACATGATGCCTAGGTCCGGATCACGCGAGAACATTTCGGTCCATTCTGCCATGCGCTCCAGTATCTTGGCCTTGACCTGCTGATGTGTGTTGCGGTCGTTGGCGAGTCTAAGCAGCGCTTCGGTGAAGCTTCGCGAGGCCAGCTCCTTATGCATTTGGATTCCGCAGTTCTGGCTCAGCGCATTCGCAAGCTCGAGCGTGTATAGTTGGACGTTTGCGTTCCGGTGTGCCAGCCTCCTGATCATGGCAGCAACCGCATCTTTGGCGCCTGTGTCGGACGACCCGACCTTGTCGCATACATCCTGCGAGAGCGGGTTAGAAAGACCTTACAAGCGCTCAAAGCAGCGAGACAGGCGTCGCATGGCTGGGTTGCACAGCGCGCCACCGGTCGGGTTCGCTGCCACGGCATGACGTGCGGGTGGCCGTACCAGAATGTATTCCCAGTTCTCGCTGGTGAGGTTTTCGTCGGTAGCCTTGACTACGACATCATCAAAGATATTTGACTGCGCGCGAAACATGGCGAGGGCTCTCTTGGGTGCCTGTCAAGATTCACGATGGGGTGCCTGTTGTCGGGCGCACGGGTGCCTCGAGGTCGTCGGGTGACGAGGGCAGCAAGTGCGAGACCAGAGAGCGCGGCGGCGGGCGGCGGACGAGGATAAGGACCAGTAGACGTAGGGGGTCGTAGGAGGTGCTCAGCAGGTTCGGGTTTGGTATTGCGGATAAAAGTGAGGGTTGAGGGTAAGCTTATGCTAATGTGCAGGCGTATACGGAGGCGTTGAAGCTCCACTAGTTGGGCGTGCGCCGCCCAAACCGCCTAGCGGGGCTGATGACGAACACTGTGGCGGCTGCGTGCTCAGCCACTATCAAGCCGAGGCATTCGTATGTGTACACTATGCACATGCACACGCACAAGCACATTACCACCGGATGCTATTCCCGGCAGTCTTCACCAGTGACAAAGTGTGCTTGCAGACCAAGTATACAATAATACATTTCTACTTTTCTGTTTATCAAGTATGCCGCTAGGGAACCCAGGTGTAGCCCTCTTGCCAAACGTATAGACACTAAAAATTGCAAATGGTGTATAGATAGTCGTAAAAGGCGTCCGCTTCGCATCAAAGTCCAAAGTAAATGCAACGTCATGACTTAGTTATGCATGCCTGCATCAACAGAAGCCCGGAGACACGGTGGCAGGCAGTGTTCGCGGGCGACACAACAGCTAAACAAGATGGGACGCGTTTGCTGGTTTGCTCCAAAATGCTCCATGTATAAAAAAACAGCAGTATGAGGCTTCGACCTTTGCATACCGACTGGCAAGCCACCGTGCTCCAACGTGGCTCGACTCTAACGCCCAAGTTGGTCGCTACGAACGCAGCCACTCGGGGGTCGTCGTGGTGCGTGCCGGCAAGTGTCACCGCAACCTCTTTCAGTCGCCTTGCGCCATCGAATCACCCACAGTTTCCGTCTTCTTGCCTTACCAATCGGCGAACGAGTTCGAATTCGACTTCGACGATTCGTGACCGTTGATCTGCGACATAACCGTACCTAAGTTCTGGTGTTAAGAAACCCTCATTGACCAAAACAACGCTTCACATGCCGCCCTTCTTCCGTCTCTCTTCAGCTCGTGCCTTCCTTGCTGACTGTACCAACGGCGCTAGTGTGCTCAACGGCTCGGCGGTTTGGATAAAGGGGTGCTGTGGTCTTGTTAGCTTGCGGCGCATCTCGTCATTGTACTCGACTCACCACTAGGAGATCGTGAGCGCTGGCTCGCTTGTCCGGGTCGACCTTGAGCGAGAAGGCCAAGAAGTCGCGGAACACGGGCGACAAGGCATGCTCTTCCTTGATCGTGGGTGTTCCGTTGGTTGCAATCAGCCAGAGAGCACGCAGAGGGCTTTCATTCAGATATGGCGGCTCTCCCTCGATCATTTCAATCGACATGATACCCAGCGACCAGATGTCGACCTTGCGGCCGTACTCCTTCCGGGTAACGACCTCGGGCGCCATCCAGTAGGGCGTGCCTACCATGGTCGTGCGCTTGTTGTGGCTCTCGTTGATCTGGGCACAGAAACCAAAGTCGGCTGCATGCCATGTTAGCGTCCGGGTCTCTTGCTTTACGGGTTGCACCTACTCAGCTTGATGTTTCCTTCTTGCGAAAGCAGAATGTTGTCAGATTTGATGTCTCGGTGGATGACGCCCTTGGAGTGTAGGTGTTGCAGGCCGTGCAGTGTCTGCAGGAGTTAGCTCAGGACTCGAAAATCATACACATCCACTCACTTCTCTGCACACGGCAGCTATTTGGCCTTCCGACATGATGTTAAAGGTCACGACGTCCGTCAAGCTTCCGCCCTCCATGTACTCCATCACTACCCAAAGATCGCCCTTGAGCAGAAAACTGTCCATGAAGTTGACAATATTCTTGTGCTTGCTGTCTTTCATGACGAGAATCTCGTTGATGATGAGATCCTTCTTTGGCTGTTGCTCCAGGTTCATCTGCTTGATGGCCACGCACTTGTTGGTGTGGATCTCGTATGCCATGAACACACCACCCGAGGCACCCTGGCCAATCTTGGTGAGGCTTCGGTATCTCTCCCTGGGGTCGGCGTTGGTACAGATGGCATTGAGCTTAGCAACGATATCGGGTCCTTGGCTTTGTCGGGGCCGCTGGCGCGGTCGTGGGGCTGGGCCAACACGGGTCTGCTGCGATGGCAATGGAATGTTCTGGGGGTCTGATTGTTGCGCGAATACCTGTTGGGGCGACGGCTGCATCTGCATCTGCATCTGGGGGGCGGGCGGTGGAGCGTGGGCTGGCTGTGGAGCACGTTGGCTGACGCTCCTACTGAGGGGCGCCTTGGGTTGCTGTTGGATCGAAGCCATGGCCATGGCTTGCTGTTGCTGTTGCTGGTACTGCTGCGCAGGCGAGATGGAAGTCGGGGCGGACGGCGAGTCGAAGCGTGGGGGTGTTCCTCCGGTGGTGTTTGCTCGACTGCGCGACGACGACGAACCATTGGGGCTCTCGGATGGCGCTGGGGCAGCATAGCCAGCTTGGGGATGGTCGTATTCCTGGCGAGGGCTTGTTTGCTGGGGGACAGTAGAACCTGGGGTTGGAGGCGGGGGCCTGGACGGCGGAGCGGTAGCAGCGCCCGGGGGCTTGGGAGCGGGTCGGTTTGGCACGAGCGCTGCGACGTTGGGCTGGGTTGTGGCTGAAATGGGCGAGGTCATGCTGCGAGGAATCGGCGGGGGAGCGCGGGGGTTCTCGAAGCTAGACAGGTCGTTGCGTGGGAAGCGAGGGCTCTGCGGGGGACTGAGCGGCTGTGCAGCGCCATAGTTTGCGTTGCTGCTGTTGCTGTTGCTGTTGGCGGCGGCGGCGGCGGCAGTGTTGGCGTTGGCCGTGTTGCTGGCCGAGTTCTGCAAAAGGCTGGCCTGGTAGGCGTAGGCCCGCGTGTGGGCAGGCCCCATCTTGTCCCAGATGGCGTCGTCCTCGGTCTTCTCGGCGTTGTCCTTGTAGAAGTTGACGACATCGACAACGGCCTGGGGGTGCTGCTTCTGCTCCTCCTGCGAGATGCCATTCTGCTGCAGCATGCGCTGCCACTCCTTGGGGAGGCCCTGTGCGGCAATTAGCAAGCGGCCTGTGATGGGGGAGGGGGGGGGGAGGGGCCACGCACCGTGTACTCGCCCGTCTGGTTGTCGATGCTGACGTGGGTGACGTGCATGGGGTTGGTGGGCGTCGAGATGGTCGGGCGGCGCGGCGAGCCCAGCATGCTGCTCATGAAGGTGGAGAAGGTGCCCTTCTTCTTTGCGCCGCCCGACAGGCGCTTCTTGGCCGTGTCGACGGCAGCTTGCTGGGCAGCGCCGCCGCCGTCGCTGTAGCGGTTCGTCTTGGGGTTGCCCGACTGAGGCGGGGTCGTTTCCATCTTGGAGGTGAAGGAGCGCGACTGGCGCAGGTAGCGGGCGGGCTGGTCGGTGTGCGAGAGCGAGTGCTGTGGGCCGGCGGGTCTACGTGGTGCACTGCCGTTGGAGGCGTTGAGAGCCTCCTCGACGATGCTGTTGAAGGGCTGCCCGACGGCGGCCGGGGGGAGCTGGGCGACCGAGGGCGGCAGCTGGTACGAGTGCTGGGCCAGGTGGTCTACATGCGCGTGCTGGTGGTGGTACTCGTGGACGGGCGTCAACGACGGGCTGCGGCGGAGCGACGAGGCTCCTGGCGTCGTGGCGGGCGAGAGCGAGTGCGAATGAGCTGGGCCTGTGCCAAGGCCTGGGTTGGCTGCAAAGTACGACGCCGCACTGGGGGCACGCTTGAGCGTCGTGGATTTGTTGTTCAGGTAAGCGATTGGAGGATGGCGCTCTTTCTTGATGAGCCGCCTGGCCGACGACGACGACGGCGTCTTCTCCTCCATGCTGCCGGCACCGCCCACGCGCTGGGCGGCTGGCGGCCACTCGATGATGCAGCGGCGGCGGCGGCAGCGTCACTTGGCCGGGCCTGCGCAACCCGCAGCAGCTGGCGGCACCAGGGGCGGCCGCAGCGAAGAGACAGGCGGGCGTCTGTCGGGCGGCCAAAGGGGGTCGGGGAGGGGGGGGGAGGGGGGAGGGAAGCGAAGGAAGGGTTGGGTAGGGTACCAGTGGGAGGGAGGGAGGGAGAGAGAAGGGAGGGGCTGGACAGGAACAGGACAGACTCAGGAACAGCAACGCGGACAGGAGCAGGAGCAGGAGCAGGAGCAGAAGCAGAAGCAGGAGCAGAACAGCAGCACCAGCAGAAGAAGACGCCGGCTCAGCGCGAGCGGGCCTGGACAAGAGAGCGTGTGCTTTTGCGGTAAGAGAGCGTCGGCCATGGCATGCCATGTCCATGTCCATGTCCTTGCTAGCCTCCAGACTGCCTTAATCTCCACCCAGCTGACTGCTCCACCACGCATGCCCAAAAAGCGTTTCAGTCGGCCTTGCCCTCTCATTTCCATGCTCAACGGCCCTGCGCCGCCTACCGCGCCGCCAGCCGCCCTCGCATGGCTCTGCAGGCCCGCCTCTGGACACCTGGCTGCCCGGCGCAGGCCTGGCGAGCTGCAGTATGCTCCATGTGCATGTAGACATGCGGCAGTCGACTAGAGCCCTGCACGCACGCACGATACGATGCGATACGAGCCCTCGGCCGCCCATGCTTGTGCTCGTCGCCGTGGACATACTACAAGTAGACTACTGCTACTGCTACTGCTACTGCTACTGCTACTGCTACTGCTAGTGCTACTGCTACTGCTACTGCTACTGCTACTGCTACTGCTACTGCTACTGCTACTGCTACTGCTACTGCTACAGTACTCAATGGTCGACCATACAATGGCGGGCGGCGACGACATTGCCCGCCCTCGTCTGCTGGGTCCCTTGTCACACATGGAGCCTGGCTGGCACGCACGCCCGCACGCCCCCTCCCCTCCTCCCTCAGGGACCCCCCCCCCTCGTCCATCACCACCACCACTACCACTACCACAACCATCACCACAACCATCACCATCCACAACCATCACCATCCACAACCATCACCATCCACAACCCCGTCCCGCGTCACGTACTCATGCAGCCCACGCTGCAGCCCCGGCGCATTGCGCTGTAGTGCCCGTCCAGCCCGCCCGCCGCCCGCAGCCCGCAGCCCGCCGCCCGCCGCTGCTCGGCCACGCCCTCGCAACCTGGCTCGACCAGAAACGACCTGTCGTCATAGTCGCCGTCTCCCAGGGCACAAAGCCTCCCCCGCCGCTTGGCGCGCCCATGGAGTGACATTCGCGAATGCAAAAGAAATCTAAACGCTGCGCCCGTGAAACGCGCCATGCACGTATCCGCTCTTACGGATGCAGGGCGCGGGGGCACAAGGCGCTGCTCCAAGCCCAAGCCGCCCCAAAACAACAGCGACAGCAGGTCATCGGTCCGCATGGGCTGCCTTGGAGAACAGCCAGCGTCCAAACATGCCGGCCACAGCGTCATTCAACAACTGCAAACCTACAGTACTCGCTTAGCCGCCTGCGACACGACTGATGCACCAACAACACACTTGCCCCAGGCAACTCGCACTCACGAGTAATGCCACGCTGCGAGATCAAGCTTCGCCCAACAAGCATACCCCGACTCGCGCGGCAACGGTCCATCTCCCGTCGCCAGCGCACGCTACGCCCGCACCAAAACGCTCTGCTGACCGTCGCCTTGGGACCAGATCAGATCAGCCTGCCTGCTGCCTGCTGCCCGCGGCGTGTGCGTGTGTAATGTATGTATGTGTGTGTGCGTGTGTGCAAGGGAAATTACCTAATTACACAACGTCGATCGCCTCTGCCTTTGGCCTTGTTCTTCAAGTCTGGACCAGTCTGCACGCAGAGTGTGAGACCATGCACAAGATGGTTCAACACCTTTACCTTCGTCGACGTCGAGTCGTGGCGTGCCTGGAGATTGCCGAATGTCGGTAAACTTTCTTGCTGCCACCTGTTTTGACCCGCGAGTCGTCTGCGTCTAATTATATCGCCTACGGTATAGTAACCATGCCTATTTGGCGCAGGTACCAATATGATAACAGCCTATATTGACCTTGCTGACCCAGCATGCTGGATGCTGGACGCCGGACAGTAGGCCAGGAACGATTATTGCACCATCTCCCCGAGTGCCCAAAGCTCGCACTCGTGTCAAATTACAGCCAAAAAGGGCCACGCAGAAGAAAAAAAATCCAGCAGGTTTTGCGCCAGCGCCAACACCGTGCCTGGCAGTCTAGCCCGCCTTGGGAAATGGATGAACAGGCCAAATAGGAGGTACAGCCGGGCCCAGTCCATGTGTGAACCGGTTCACGAGCAGGCATGCACAGGCGCCGTTTGCTCGGCCATGCGCCCTTTACTTTTATTTGTTTCTTGTTCAAACAACAAAAACTAACCCTCGGTATACATACGTCGCGTCGCGTCGCCAAAGTTTAGCATGACTCGACGTTACCTTGGAGAGCAGCCTACGCGTGTCTATCAACCACACAATGGGAAAGACAGCTCTCTTGTTAGCCAGTTACGTAACAAGTGTCAATTGACCTCATGGCGATCGACTCGCTTCACAACACATGGCACATGCTATAATTGGCATATCAGTATGGGCAGAAAGCCGCCTGGGTGTAGTTACAGTGGCTAGTGGGCAGTCCAACTTCACTACTACACCTACGCCACAGCCTGCTCAGCTCTACCCTTTGTCTTGCCATACGCTCCGCCAGCCAGCTTGCGCATCTCCAGCGCTCTCTTGTACGGCGGCGCCGTCGGCGGCTGCACCGGGTCCAGGCTAACTCGATCTTTAGCCAAGTGGTAGGTAGCATCCGAGTCGTACGCAGACAAGTCACCACAAGCCAGAAACGGCGCTATCCACCGCTGGCCTCCTTCCTCGACGTCATCTTGGTCGTCCGTCTCGTCGCCGAGGTCCAACTCGATTGCGCCGTCGTCTCTAACTCTGCGCGACATCTTGTCCTGCTCCTCTAGCTGCGGTGCGCCATCCGATGCACCGGCGGGTGCGGGTAGTTGCGTGCCTGCGCCAAGCGGTTTGTCCAGACTGGCTGTGAAACCCTTTGGAGGGCAGAAGCCCTCGCACACGACAAAGGCTTCTATACTGCTTGCACGACTACTCCGCGGCTTGGCCACGCGCACTCGCTCAAAGACAATCTTGAGCTGCGCAAACAGCAGGTCGACGTCTTTGCCGCGGAAAATCTTGGCGACGAATTTGCCGCCGGGCTTGAGCACGCACAGCGCAAGGTTCAGCGCCGCCCACAGCAACTGGCTCTGCACGTAAATGTCCAGGTCGTGCAGCCCAGTGACGTCGGGCGCGCCGTCGGAAATCACCAGGTCGACGGGCGAAGAGCCGCTCGTGGCATTGGTCTCGTCGTACGTGTCTGGGTCGAGTGCCTTGAGCATGAGGGGTATCGTCGATGGATGCGTGATATCTGCCCGCATTGTCGTGACGCCTTCGAGCGGACTCATAGGCTGCAAATCAATCGCAACAATGCGCACTCCTTCTCTCCGTGCTGCTGTTTTCTGTGTCTCCTCATCCCCTCCCTCTCCCTTCTTTTTTTCCCTCGTATCCTCACCCCCTCCTTTCTCCCTGTCCCCACCCAATACGTACTCCCGTGTCGCAGCCTGCTTTTCCTGCCACCCCGCCCGCCCAAATTTCTCACCCTTTATCAGCACCCGCGAGAGCACCTGGCTCCAGCTTCCCGGTGCTGCACACAGATCCACGACTCGAGTCACGCCCTCGAAGAGATTGAATTCCTCGTCTAGCTGCAGCAGTTTGTACGCTGACCGTGCGCGCCACCCTTCTTCCTTGGCGAGCCGGTAGTATGCATCTCGCTTGTCTTTTGACGATTTCCCCATGTTCTTTTTCCTTCTTCTTCTTCTTCTTCTTCTTTTCTCTGCTTTTTTGTATGTGGCTGGCTGGATGAGGCTGAATGTGGAGATTATAGGACCTTCTCTGCCGTTTCTAGAAAAAGAGAAGAAAAGAAGAAAGAGAAAAGGAATGGAATGGGAAAATTGGTGGACTCCTTTCGGTATGACTGCAGTCGATGCTGGAGGGAGAGCGGGGGGCACTTTTTGAGGCTAATTCTGCTCGCTTGGTGTGGAGAGTGTAGGATTGCCAATTGCAATGTGTTCCGGATAAGTAACAATCTGAAAATCTTCGATCCGACTCTCTCTATATTCCCTCACTTACTGTATCCCACGCACACGGACGTGAGTCGTCGTTCGCACGTGAAGTCTTTGTGGCCTTCTACGTAGAAGGTGTGTTTGCATGTGCATGTGCATATGCCTTTGGTTTAGAAGGGCAAAAAGTGGGGCTACGTCAAGCAAATAGCGGACTCCCGAGCGCCGACTTTCCCCAAAAAAAAAGTTTCCCGCAGCACAGCGCATTCGTCTTTGAGCTCCCTCTCTCTCTCTCCCTCTTTTTGGTACCAACAGTCGAATTGCTCCAAAATTTACTTTACAATATGAAACGCCCTCATGCGACCCCGAAAAAGGCCACAGCGCACAAAGCGCACAAGCGGCAAAAAGTCGAGGATTTCGCCAAACCCCTACCTGTTACTGCGAAGCCGAGACGCAGAGTACAGCTCGACGAGCTAGGCTGGAAAACGGTTTCCATGCCGGATCGCTTGGAGGATACAGAGGGATTCTATGGGCTTGAAGAGATTGACGACGTTGCGATTGTGAAGGATCCCGCGACGGGAAATGTGCATTTTGAGACTACCAAGACGGAGGACGAGGTTGCGAGGGATGTCGAGGAGGCGTGGATGCAGCATGAAGAGGAGGCGAGGAGGTTGGAGAAGATAACTTTTGGGGAGGATCAGGAGTCTGAGGGCGCTGAAGATGGTGAGGACGCTGAGGACAGTCCCGAGGAAGATGGCGCGGCGGAGGCCGAGGCGCAAGAAGACGAGCCTGAATGGGAGGGCTTTAGCGACGAAGAGCCCGGGACAGAAGCGACCAAGCCTGCAACAAACGGTGACTCTGGGATAAAAAAAGAGACCAAGACGGAGAAGAAGAAGAGGCTCAAGGAGGAGCGGCTAAAGAGACAGGAGGAGGAAAAGGCAAACAAACAAGACAAAACGGACGATGACGAGGAACCCGACACAGACGATCGTGAAGACGGTGAGACTTTTGGTCCCGGCGCCTTCGATATACTCGCCAACCAGCCAGTCGACGATAGCGACGAAGAAGATGTATCCGCCTGGGCAAAGCTGGACCTCTCTGAAGAATTGCTAGGATCATTGGCAAAGCTCAGGTTTTCGAAACCCACCGATATCCAAGCAGCAAGTATACCTGAGATCATGGCTGGTAGAGATGTCATTGGAAAGGCTTCTACTGGTTCGGGCAAGACGCTTGCTTTTGGCATTCCAATTGTAGAGTCGTTCCTCGCCTCCCGCTCGGCCTCCAAAGACACAGAAAACAAGAATCCTCTTGCCCTCATCATTGCGCCGACTCGAGAGCTTGCCCACCAGATCAACGAGCATCTCGTTAAGCTCTGTGCAAAGGGCGATTTTGACGCCCCGTACATTGCATCCATTACGGGTGGCCTGTCCGTACAGAAGCAGCGCAGGCAGCTGGAGAAGGCAGACATTGTCGTCGGAACCCCAGGACGACTCTGGGAAGTGATTAGCAGCGGGCAAGGCCTGCTTGCAAAGTTCGAGCAGATCAAGTTCCTTGTCGTCGACGAAGCTGACCGCCTGTTGAGCGAGGGCCATTTCAAGGAAATGGATGATATTCTCAAGGTCCTCGAGCCCGACGATGAACTAGACGAGGGTACCAATCCAGCAGACACGCCAGAGGCTCAGCGCCAGACACTCGTGTTTTCCGCAACCTTTGGTAAGGATCTACAGAGAAAGCTCGCGGGCAAGGCCAAATTCAGCGGCGACATGAGCCAGCAACAGTCGATGGAGTATCTGCTGAAGAAGCTTCGCTTTCGCGAAGACAAACCCAAATTCATCGACGCAAACCCTACCTCGCAGATGGCCAGCAAACTGCAGGAAGGTCTTATCGAATGCGCCGGTACTGAGAAGGATCTGTACCTATACTCGCTCCTCATGTTGTACACCAACAAGCGCGCCCTCGTCTTCACAAACTCCATCTCGGCCGTCCGCCGCATCACACCCTTTCTCACGAATCTAGCGCTGCCCGCTCTCCCGCTGCACTCTAACATGCCGCAGAAAGCGCGACTCCGCTCCATCGAGCGCTTCAAAGAACGGCCGGGGTCCATCCTCGTCGCCACCGACGTCGCCGCCAGAGGCCTCGATATTCCAAAAGTCGAACTCGTCATCCACTACCATCTCCCCCGCGCCGCAGACACATATGTGCACCGCTCCGGGCGCACAGCGCGCGCCGACGCCTCTGGCGCCAGCATTCTCATCTGTGGGCCCGAGGAGGTCGCCGGTGTCCGCAGGCTAATTGCCAAGGTACATGCTCGGGCTGTGGATGCGCCCAAGACGAAAAAAACCGCCTTCTTCATCCGCACGCTCGACATTGACCGCCGCATCGTCGCGCGCCTGAAACCACGCGCCACAATCTCCAAGCGCCTCGCCGACACCGTCATTGCAAAGGAGAAAAAACACTCGGAAAACGACTTGTTGCGCCAGGCCGCCCAAGACCTCGGCGTCGAATACGACACCGACGACCTCGACAAAGACGTCAAGGGCAAGCGCGGCCGTGGAACAGGCCGCAAGAAGCGCGAGAGAGAGGCGAGTCAAATGACTAAAGCGGAAATGCAGGCGCTCAGAGCAGAGCTCAGGACTTTGCTTGCCCAGAGGATCAACACGGGTGTTAGCGCGAGATATCTTACCAGCGGTGGTATTGATGTTGATGCCTTGGTTGCTGGCGAGGGTAACATGCAGTTTTTGGGTCGGGTCGAGGGTCTGGGGTTTGATGACGATGATGATGATGATGATGACGACGAGTGAGTCGTAAATTGTTGACGTTGTATAATAATATACCTCTTTCAACAAAACCCATACATAGATAGTTACTTCAAGACAGGCGATGATGAAAGAGCATTTGGAGAGCAACGCAGAGTTTCAGATAAAGAAGAGTTTTTTTTGGTATGTTATTTACTTCAGTACTAAGGTCTTGACGTGTGCCTCCCCCAGCCCATACTGATATAGACAGGCTAAACATAGCGTGGAGCATGGGATGATCAGGCAAAGCACATAAGCCCAAGGACCAGGAGAGCGACGCAGGTAGGTATGCTCTTGGAGCCAGTCTAGATTCGACGAGGAATTTCGCAGTCATGGCTTAAGTACCGGGGTGCCGGGACAAAGACGATATGATATACCGCGTACATCGGGAGGGTGTAATCATGGGCCGACAAGGCACCGCGTATATTAGATATCACGGCGTGGCACGGGGCATCACGGCGAGGGGTCATGCGACAGATCAGAAAAAGGCCAACGCACCTGTGGCAATGCATGGCAGGAGCATGTCTTGGTCCAGGATGGTTTTTCGGCGGTCCATCACTGATGATGCCTTGATTGAGGGTTAGAAGCATGTCAAGTTGCATCTTTGGAAAGAAAAAGCGTACATGTTTATCATTGGACTGATTTCAAAGCTCTCAAACGGGGGGGGCCAAAGCCCAAATAAGTCGCCAGATGTTGTACAGGTACCGCCAAAGTCGCGGTTGTTTTTTTTTCTTTCGCATCAATACTGTGGTAAGCTGCACATTTTGGGAATCTCATAGACACACCTTAACGCCGGGACCTGAGGAGGATTACCAGCCGCCTCTTCTGCCACCGCGACGGCCTCGTCCGCCACGATAGCCACCGCCGCCGCCGCCATACCCACCGCCTCCCCAGCCCCCACCACTGCCTCGATCCATGTCGCCACCAGAGGGAGCGTAGGAATTGCGGGGCGGAACTCGGTCCTTGAGCTCCTTGGACAGCGTGTCGTACGACTTGCGCATCTGCGCATATCCAAGATGCATCTTGCCGTAGAAGTGGTCTGCTAGACGACGATCATTGTCCAGACGACTGAGATACGCACCGCATACGTCGCACACCTGGAGCTTCTGGTGCCCTGAAGGGCCTCCGGTGTCTGAGAGGGCCCTCAGCTCGCGCTCGCGCTCCTCCTTCTCGGCCTTTTTGTAGCGGACCTTTGTGAACTCTTGGACGGCCATGTTGACCATGCCCTCCTCGCCCATGATCTGGATCTCGAGCATGCCGGCGTCAATCGACTTGGTAAGTTCGTTGATGGCTTTGAGCTGCGCGGGAGTCAGTAAATGCTGCGGATTGCTTCGCGGGCAGGGCTACTGACCAGAGCGTTCGTCTGGCGGATTTCCTCGGGCGTCTTCTCTAGGCGGCGCTGGGCCGAATCTATCTTTCGGTTACAGCTGTCAATGTGATGCTGCATGTCGCGCATGTAGTCAAACTCGAAGCCCCACCTGCGCTTCTGGTCGGCGTCGGCGTCCTGGTACTCGGTCTTGAGCGCCTCATTGTGCACTTTGGGGCAGGGGCCCAGCTCGTTCTTGGTGTTGGTGAAGAGGTCATGGGGACAGTTGCCGACAAGATACGAGCGGCAGACCTTGGGGTCGGTGATGCTGAGCTGGGGCGCGCGCTGGTCGGTTCCGCTCATGAGCTGCTCGCCCATGAGCTGCTCTGCGTCGGGTTAGTGCTGCCGTTTCTGGGGGAGCGGGGGGCGCCCTACCAAGCAGCCTACGCGTCTCTGCGGCAGCCATGATGTGTCGGGTCTGGTGTTGATTGGTGGAGTCGCGCGGTGGAGAGCTTGGAGGGAGTCGACGGTCAAAAGAAATCGCGACGATGCGACCGCGGCAATGCCAAGCATACACGGCACCCGGCCAATCACACGCGGGGCGTCCTTCACCCTCCGCCAACAACACCCGCACTACACGTCTAACCCCCCAGTCCCGTTCCGCGTAGAGAGCGCTACAATGCTGCGATGCTCTCGTCTTTCTTCCTCCTGTCGCTCAATGCCTTGATTGGACTTGTCTCTGCCGGTTCCGACTACAGCGAACGGCTCCTCCTTCGGCCCCTGCCGCAGAACACGCTGCTGGCCTCGTTCAACTTCCGCAGCAACGAGAGCGCAGCCGCCTTTGAGGCCCAGAACTTCCGCTACTTCCCGCGCTCCTTTGGCCAGATTCTGCAGCATGCGCATGCAAAGGAACTGCACCTGAGGTTCAGCGTGGGACGATGGGACGCCGAGAACTGGGGACAGCGGCCGTGGAACGGCGCAAGAGAAGGGGGCACGGGTGTTGAGCTGTGGGCGTGGGTCGAGGCCGACAACGAGGATGAGTATGGCTTCTCAGCACATGCACGCAGCACCAACGACATGCTAACTGCGTCAGAGCATTTGCCCGATGGCTGAAGCTCACCAATGCCTTGTCTGGCCTCTTCTGTGCCTCGATCAATTTCATCGACTCCACAAAGACGATCCGCCCCGTCATGTCCTTTGACCCAGAAGGCCAACACGGCAATTCGTCCAACCTCCACCTACTCCACGGCACGCTGCCTCACGAAGTCGTCTGTACCGAGAACCTGACCCCCTTCTTGAAACTGCTACCCTGCAAGGGGAAGGCTGGCGTCTCGAGTCTGCTGGACGGACACAAGCTGTTCGATGCGGCGTTCCAGACCATGGCTGTCGATGTGCGGCCCACATGCGAGCAAGGCAGCTCCAGTTGCTCCATAGAAATGGAACAGAGCGTGGACATGGTCTTGGACATTGCGCGGGCAAAGCGCCCAAGAGACAATCCCATCCCGCGGCCGCTTCCCATTGAGCAGATAGAGTGTGACACATCCAAGGGCTACAATGGCGAGGATACTTGTTACCCCCTGAACAAGGGCACTGAGCTGCCCTGGACACTCGAGGAGGTTTTTGGAAGACCACTCCGGGGAGCATGCCCGCTGATAGATGAGAGCCCCAGCGAGGCCCACAATCTGTGTATCAACATGCCCCCGGAGCGTATCATGGAGGTGAAAACAGACGGTCAATACACCGAGTTCAAGGCGGCATCCGATACTCTCCGATGCTTCAAGCTCCCGACAGGCCAGAACTTTGACCTTGCTCTGCCTGAGCAGAAGATGAAGACGGGCTTGGTGCGCCCAGATCCCGTGGTATTCGCAGCACGATCCATCAATGGCCACGGCCAAGAACGAGGTAGCATCCAGGCCGTCATTCGAAATCCGTCCAAGCAACAAGCAGTCGAGATTGTTTACCTCGAGTCTCTACCTTGGTTCATGAAGCCATACTTGCACACACTGCGCGCTCACGTCGACACGACGGGAGAAACCCCCATCAAAGAGACATACTACCGGCCAGCCGTGGACCGCAAGCGGGGCACTCACCTTGAGCTACGCATGGTGATTCCACCCGACTCTACGCTCACGCTGACCTACGACTTTGAAAAGGCCATCCTACGCTACACAGAGTATCCGCCAGATGCAAACCGAGGCTTCGACGTTGCCCCTGCTCTCATCCGCGTCTTGTCTCCATCGTCGGGCGACAACAAGGGCATCTACGTCCGCACAACATCGCTGCTTCTCCCCTTACCAACCCCTGATTTCAGCATGCCGTACAACGTCATCATTCTCACGAGCACAGTCATGGCATTGGGTTTTGGCAACATTTTCAATCTGCTCGTAAGGCGCTTTGTTGGCGTTGACGAAGTACCGACCATTGGGGCCGGTGGCATCAAGGGCATCATTCAAGGCAAAATGGCCAGGTTAAAGAGTCTGCTCGGCATGAAATAACCTAGCGAAATATAAACAAATCCCGCGCTGAATATAGATATGTATATGATTTCTTTTCCTAATTCATAAAAAATAGAAAACAAGTCGTCTGATTCTATGTACAGTGTGCTCTCCTCCAAAATGGCTTGCTAGTTTCTAAAATAACTTCAAAAAAAATGGGTATCTCCTCCTCCTCCTCCCTTTTTTTTCTCTTTTTTTTTCCTTGTGTCGATGTAAGAATTACTCTGACAAGCACCGCGCCTCCCCCCTCTCATACAAAAACTCCTCCCCGAAGTTGGGAGGAAAAGAAGAAAATATTTACGTTGTTCTGCTCTCTGCTCCTGCTGATCGCAGTTGCAGTTCTCTATTTTTAGTACGTGGATGCGCACACGCATGCGGACCGCCCACTAACACGGTAGTTGGTTTGCGCTTCAGGATTTGACGGGCGCGCCAATGGAACCATCATATTCCTTGGAGGGGCGCTCGCATCCACCTACAACAACTCACGAGCCGTAGCCGCGGAAGTTCTCGCAGGGAAGGTAGTTGTTCTCGATGAAAGCGGTAGCCAAGCGAACGCCATAGACGTTATTCCACACATGCTCTGTATCAAAAGGCCAGAACTTCGCGCGCACGGAGCCCCTTACAAACTCAATTTTGTTCGGGGCCGTGGAAAGACTGGTATTGAAGAGCCGGATCTGGTTGTCGCACGACTTGGCGTCGGCGAAGATGACCTGGTTGGTGACGTTTGCGAAGAAGGAGATGGGATATGGTTTCTTGGTTGTTGCGGAGAAGAGGGTTGCGAGAGCGGCGGTGGTGTTGGAAGTGGTGGCATCTGTGCTTTTGGCACTAGACGATGTTGTTGTTCCGGGTCTTTTGGCATCCGGGACGCCGCTGTACGCATTGCATGCCGAGTCGAATGTTGCGGGAAACGTGTGGGTGCCGTAGTCGGCCGACCCCTTGATGGCGACGCTGTTGTTGGCGGTAATGAGCAGTGACGGCACCCATTTGAACGACGTGCTGTTGTCGCCGAGGAGATCGAGAAAGGGGAATTCAAGCCCAGCGCGCTATGCAATCAGGGGATACGTTAGCGTCGTCATCAACGCGGTTTCAACGGCAGAGGGTCACGGGGAGGCGTCTTTACCGAAAAGTCGGGTATCTTGAAGCCGAATGCTTGGATGTCGTGGTCCAGCATGGCTTGCACTACCACGGGGTACATGTCCTTTGGGAACGAAGGGAGAAGATGGCGGTATGCGTGCTCCAGGATGCGGTATTGCGGGGGGATCAATTTCCGTGCGAGAGCCAGCGAGATGGGAACCACTGAGATTGTGCCGTTGAGGACTCCCGTTGCGTTGTTGGGGTATGTTACTGCAATTGGGTTTGGCTGGGTGCATGTTTGGCAAACGCCTGTTACGGCCTCAACCAGAATATGAGGCTGCGTGCCCGTGCTGCTCACATATCGGACGGCGAGGAGCGACAGAAAACTGAGCAGAAAGTACTGCCATAGTGACTGCTGAGTCTGCATCTTTGGTCTCTGGATGGTAAGGAGCGCGAGTACCGGATGGCACAAGAGCGCGAGGTCCAAACAAGTGCTTATCATGTTTGCGGAGAGTTTGGTAAAGGGCCGAATCCGGAGGTCACTGGAAAGAAAGTCGGCGTACAGAATGAGAACTAGAATGTCAATCAATTGGGGCTGGCAGCAGAGTAGTACAAAAGAGACTTTGAGAGAGGCCTAAAGAGGATATACCGTATCCGGTAACGCATGAATCCGCGCCACTAAAAGTGCCTCATGATGCTGTTGAACTGGAACACCGACACCCGCAAGCCTACGGGAGCACATACGCCGATGGATGGTTGCCCTACCGCACCTGGCCGGCCGTATCGCAGTGTGCTTTGGGCATTTCTGTCGCGGCTGGCGTTGCTAGTGCCATGGAAGCACGAGTATCCGAGACGCAGATCTCCCAGATGAAGGGCCAGCGGCCGCGTGCCAAGCGCCACCACAGCGCGTGCAACTACCCTCAGCTAGATGACGGTCCGATAGAAGCTACGTGTGGTCAGCCCCGCGCGTCATGGGAGCGTCTATTGTTGCCCTATGAACGTGGCTCGGTACAGAGCGTGTGTCAAGGAGACCGCGATGCGGTTTCACCACCTTCGAAATACAGGCGGGGCCAACATCACGTGCCGCGCATACTGTAGGTGGTCAGTGCTTGCAACTGTTCAGCGGATGCAACACCCCACCAAAATTGGTGCTCCACCAAAGATGAGGCTATAGAGCCCCATACAAAAGCTATTATCACGAGATTTTCTGGTGGAGTATTGAGCAAGTAGTAATATAACGTAGTTCACAAGCGAGTCGCTCACCCAAGCGAGTCGCTCACGCCCCACCAGCGCGTCGACGTCGAGACGTTATCACGCACTTTTATCACAGTCAATAAACTATTACAATATACTAAATTAATTATTAGAATCGCTGCTATCACTTGCACTATCTATATCAACTGCGCAGGTACGAGCGTTATGTCCAGTCTGCTTACAACGCCCGCACCGCCTCTCTCCTCGCACCCTCTTCGACGCACTCTCACCGTCGCCACGACTACTACCCGCCTGTTCAGCTAATACTTCTTGTACCTCGCCTACAGTAAGAGTCTCTTCTGTCCGTATGTATCGCCGCTTGCGGCTTTTACGCTTGTTTGATTCGTCTAGAGCCTCTTGAAGGGTGGTTATTTTCTCTGTCAAAAGTACCATCTTATGTGCCATCTGCTGAGCCCCCTTACTCAACTGCGCGATCTGCTCGGTAAGTGAATTAGCAGAAGACCCACGGCGCTTTCTCACGCTCTGTCGAATAAGACTAGTTTGAGCCTCGACTTCGCGCGCGTTACGTGGTGTCTGCGCCTCCCAGGCGGCTACCCGTCGCGGTGATTGATGTGGTGTCTGCACCACTACATCAAGCTTTAATAGCACAGCCTGTGGGTCGTGTGGGACTAAACCAGCGCCTCTAAAGCCAGCTTGGATATTCTCCTTCGTAATAGACTGCTCAAAAGCAGCCTTAAAGGCTGGCAGGAAGGTCTCCTTACTGATATAGCTGGTGCGGTTGCGTGCCAAGCCTGAGATCGAGTCGCCATACTTG